TCCGTGCATCATATCAGAGACAATTTTTATTAAAAAATGTATCTATGAATTTATACGCTTAATTTAATATTATCTTTTCGAAACAAATTTCCAAATATTCCAATCTTCCAACACTATTATTTTCGATTTTTAAAAAATTTCCAATCACCGAAATGTTTAAACTTGAAAATTCAATAAAAGCGTTTCCCGTCAGTATAAATTTAAACCATACACCGTTAAGCTATTGTATGCAGCTCGCAGATATGTATTTTTAACATCGAAATAAAGTAAGTTAATATAGACACTTCGAACAATTTTTCTGTAACACATTGAACTGAAATTTCCGTGGCAGTTTGCTTTATAACTTCAATCATTCGCAACTCGCTCAGAAACGTACCATAAAAGCAAACACGTAATTTTCTACGGTAGATTTACATACCACACACAATCCTTTCGAAATGTGGAATTAACGTCCTATAAAATTTATTCAGGCAAAAATCTGTTCGTTATTAAACTTGCCCTTTATATTATTGTAATGAAAATCGATGACGAAGGAAATGATTACCATTAGCAGAATTTAAATGTGAATAAAGCACGTTTCACCCTATAATTTTGAATATTAATTCTCGTCTTTTCACTCACGATTTTGTTTATCGAGATTTTTTATTATTCATCGATATCAAACGACACGCATCGCGTATGGCAAAAGAATTTATTTATCGCATGTTTGCACGCCAGTTTATGAAACGGGGTTTTTAAAAATATCCACCAAGCTTAGTATTGCACATTTAAAAAATTTAACAAATCTGAGAAATTTAGAAGTTTAAGGACACAATTTTATTTGGAATTTATATAATTTAGAACTTTGGAGGTTTGAAAATGTACAGATGTAGAAATAAGTACACAGGGGAATTAATGTTTCCCCAACTTGGCATTAAAATTCATAAAATTTCCACGTAAATCCTCCGAAATCCTTGTTATAAAAATTAAAATAAAAGGTAATTTTCACACTCGTTCCTGCTCAGAATTCTCGATTCTCTCTGCGACACCTTTATTCCCAGATTCGAGCATTCGATTTTTCGTCACCGGGATAAATCGCAGCGGGAATAAGGATTATAAGTTGCATTGGTGCGTTTCTAACATCTGGCTTTAGTTCGCAGCATATTACTTCTGTTTTCCTGGAAATGGGAAGGCGGACGTAGAAACGCGAGTCCGCAGACCACGGTTGGAAAGATTTTCATGAATATTCTTTGGGTTACAGTAATGCGCTTTATAAATATGTATTAAACCCGTGGATTTTACTATCTCCGACAAATTAAGCTTTCCAGCTGCCTTAACCCTTCCTGTTCCTCCTAGCCGGAGCGTTAACGTTGGAAAGATGCAATTGGAATAGTAATTTCAACCACGATCTGCACCGCGACCTTCCTTATTCTCCCCCTCTGTTTCTTTCGCTATTTCCGTCGGGGACATTTAATATTCTGCAGGATGAATTTATATTTTCTATTACATGGCCAAGGATGGCCAAAATATTACCAGCTAGTAACACGATCCTGGTAAAGTCTCGCGTATTAACCTCCTTTCGTCGTGTAAAAAATTGTTCGGCTTAACAGGTATTACCGTTTAAATATACGCGGAATAGCCGCTGTGTAACGTACGGTGATATTTTCGGTAAACTCGCAGATTTGCTGCAATGTTTCTTTTCGGTATACTTTTTGCAAATTATTCAAATGCGGGGCTCGACAAATATTTGTCGATACCACGTTTCTGGCGGAACGTTGTAATTGAAAAACAAATAAATTCTATTGTCAAACAGTGCTTTATTTCTTACATATTAACAAACGTTACAACTTATAATTACAACTTATAATTTTACTAACTGTTTTTGTTTTATTAATGCTACTTTTTGGGAAAACCAAGAGCTTTGCACATCTCCTGTTAAGAAAAGAATTTTATGAACATTAGTCATTTTAATTACAATAAAATTCATTGTAAAATTGAAATAAAATAAATAATATTCTTATGTACGTACAGGACACTTAGCCTGCACCTCAGGATACTGACATCTTCTCTTATAAAAAGTACCACATTTTGACGGTTCCTTGAAAACATTGAATAAAATTGCACGAATAATATTAATATCGCAAACAAAATTCAAGATGACCCTTAAAATTTCTACTTACCGCTTCTGCAGGGGTTAGAATATACCCTGATAGCAAAATCAAGGAAACGAGCACAAAGAGAAGCTTAACTTTCTGATACATGTTGAATAAGAGGATTCATTTAATAATGGCGCTCACGTCGGAGCTACCACTTTTTATACACGCCATTACTATACTATAAACAAATGTGTGCAAATGTTTACGCGTATTTATGAGTCATTGGTTGGAAATAGTTCTTCGTGATCGATAAATTATTACTTTATCTTTTTATGAGGCGATAAAATTCAGGTTGGCTATTAAACGGTGCTGTAATAACAGAATAGTCAGTTTGTAAAATGGAAGATGTGGAAAATTTTAATTTATGCATTCGATAATTTTTGAACCTGTAAATTTGGTATTTCTAAATTGTCAAGTCTGAAAATTTGAATTCCTGAATTTCTAAATCCATAAATTTGTGAAATGGAACGTAATTTCCTAAATGTGTAAACTACAAGTTCGTAAATACCAACTTTACAACAATTGAGATTTGAAACTTTGAGAAATTGAAATTGACAAAAGTGTTCATTAAACAAAATTAATTAACATTTTGTTAACTACTACAATGATAGTAGGATAAATAGTAATTTTAACAGCAAAATCAAGCATCCGTGATGGACATGTTGCAAACAGGTTAATTGAGTGGATATTAATTTCCACGTATGATACCACAAACAACAATGTAGCATTACATATCCTATATAATATCATTATGCATATTATTTTTAGTGAAAATGTTCAGAATTCTAATAGTTCGTATACGGGATTACAAGAACGTTTCATATGAATCGTAATTCGATACATCATAATATTGCAAGTCACAAATTAGTAGGAAACAGGAGAATATTAACGAAATATATTGTAATAACAATGATTTCGTACTCGAATATTACAAAGACATGCAATCTATTCATTCACTACCCCCCAAGTCGATGTACGTCTCATGTATATTGCAGTTTATTGATATGCTTTCAATATTTAAAGTTGTAGCTCTAAAATTAATGCTTCGTAACAGATATCTTTAGAAGATCGTAAAAACGATTTGCACAAATTGCAGCTTAAAATATAATATCTATTCGTGATATGTGTTATTAGATTGTCGAAGGTTCAGAATTATTTAATACTTCAAAAACAAGTCGTTTATTTCATATTATTTATTGCACAGTGAGAATAGCTCGAACACGATCCCAGTTAAGTCTCGCGTGTTATTCTTTCGTCCAGTAAAAAATTGTCCAGCTTAACAAGTATTACCGTTTAAATATATACGAAAACGTAGCCATTGTAGCACACGGTGATATTTTCGGCAAACTCTCGAGATTTAACCGCCATAATGTTTCTTTTCGGAATACTTTTTTAAAATTATTTAAATCTGCAGCTTAACAAATGTTTCTATGAATGCTGGCGCCTCGTTGTTGACGATATTATTCATGAAATATGCGGGAAGTCAACGAGGAACGGTGTGATTTATGGATAGAACGTAGAACACGTATTTCTACGCGCTACGTAGAGTGTGAAAACAGACATGACAACAGTGACGATGTAAATTCGCGCTGTTACCGTGCTTCGACGATAAAAATACCTTGGAAATATTTGATGCAATTTTTAGCATTCACATCCAGAAACAACATTTTTTATCATATTTGTGTTTACAGATTTGAACATTTGGGAATTAGGGATTCTGGAGATTTGCAAATTGAATTCGGAGATTCGAAAATAATTAAATAATTTGTTGATTCTCTGAACTGTTAATTTTTTTATACTCAGATTCCATATTTGTTCTCTTGAATTTCATGTTAATGGTATATACGAATAATGAATATTAAAATATTGCTTTTGTCAAACAACGTTTATTTTATTCTCGACTTTTACGCAGCAGCAACTGGAATCACTGGAATTTCCAATTTCACAAATATCCTTTGATTTTATCAGCGTCTTTTTCCAGGAAACGTTATGAACCTATGGACATTGCATACTAAATTTTAGTGACATTAATTTACAAAGCGATATGACGAATATACACGTAGCTTTATATTCTGGTGACACGTTTTTTTAGACAGAATGGATATAATTCTACGAATGTATAATATTTTTAGTTTCCAAGTAATTTGAAAAGCAATAATCCATATTGCACATGTAATATCAATATCGTTGTCAAAGTTCAAAGTGACCTTTCACAAATTCTTGCTCACTATTTTTGCAGGCATTAAAAAAGCCCTCATAAGTAAATGAAAGGAAAAAGAGAAAAAAATATTAATAGCGCATATGTGGATTATGCAGACTTATACAATAAACAAAATGTTTGAAAAAGTAGTTTGTGGAATTTCTGCACTTGTACATTCGAAAATTCGAAAATTAATTATTTTCAAAATAATTAAGAAAAAATAAGAAAATTTGAAATCCTAAATTCCTAAATTCGTAAATTTAGAATTCCTATATTCTTAAATCAATGAATTAAAACTTCCTAGGTTCCAAATATCAAAATTTAGAAATTTACAAAAATGTTCATTAATCGAAATTAATTTGTATCGATATTTACAAGATACAAAAAGGTATCACGTAATAATTTTAACAATGAAATTAAGCATTCATGATAAGCGTGTTGCAGCCATATAAATTGAATGGATATCAATTTTTACGTATTATATTACAGACAGTAATGCAGCATCACGCGGGCTACATAATATCGTTACATTTGTTGTTTCGGAATCAATTGTCTGGAATTATAATAATTACGCAAATAGGATTATAAGAACATTCGCAGGATATGGGAAAATATTAACATGTTGTTGGGTTAACAATGATTTTGTACGCAAATGTTAATGTTTCAAAGGCATGTAATTTATTCCATGCTGTTCACTTGTACAGTGAAAGTTACATTATTATCGTCAGTAGGATTTTTAACCTAGACAGGCAGCCTGGAAAATACAAAATCATATCAAAAATAAGAATTATTTCGTATTGGTGAACATTGTTAAAAAAATGTACAAAATATATAAAATTTTGTTAACATACCCTACATCCTCTGGGTATTGGTCTCTTTCTGCAGCTGCATGGTAGAGACTGTGAATAACATCAAAATATGTTATATGATAGTTTATCATTATATGTATCTTACAATTATAATAGTTTATCATATATGTTTCTGCTCACAAATATGTTTGAAAATTATTTTCTTCCTCGATAGACGTAACTGATTTAAATTGACACAGTTTGTATATTTTACAAATTGATATTATTATCATTTAATCACTGGAACATATGAGTTTAAACATACTGCCACATACATTGTAAATAATTTATTTCACTTCAATAGAGTTCATGCATTCTATATAGTTAGCACCTTTCTTGCAATAATAAGTGAATTTTCGCAAGGATTGAATCCTTTATTTGTTTCAATTAAGGAAACTGAAATGTTTATTTACCTCAGCTGGTGTCACGAAAAATCCTGACATTAAAATGACGCCCACAAAGGCGAACAAAAGTTTCGATAGTTGCATCATGTTGCTGTTTCGTTGAATACTGTATAGAATTCGATATGCAGTGTCTCATATATACTGCAGCTTATCGATACATTTCAGTATTTATGCGAGAATTATAGCTCTAAAATCAATGTTTCGTGACAGATATCTTGAGAAGTGAGATTAGAGGGACAATTCACACAAACTGTAGTTTAAAATATTGTAACATTGGAAGATATGGGAAAACATACGTGATATGTGTTAGAAGGTTAATAAAAGGTTCAGACAGATATTTAGTACTTCGAAAGCATGTTATTTATTTCATATTATTTATTACACAGTGAGGTTGAAAATTTAAACGAACATGCAGTTTCCTTCACTGTGCCAACACGATGCTTCATCGTTCAAGAATTATCCTCTGCCGCATCGTCTCTGAAACGTACAAGATTTTACATTAATCATTGGTCCATATATTATAACAATTGTATGTAGAATCAAGTAATTGAAACTTACCCAACACGCTTTGGGTACAGGTCTACGTTTGCAATTGCAGAATAAAGACTGTAAACGATCAAACATAAGAGTTTATTATCTTTTCATAATTGTAACAATCGAACAAGTTTTAATATTTGCTTACCTCTGCTGGCTTAACGAAAAAGCCTGACATTAAAATGACACCTACGAAAACTAGAAGGAGTTTCGATAATTGCATCATTTTGTTACTTAACTGAATTTTGTATACCATGTCCATATGCAGTATTTCATATATACTACAGCTTATCGATATTTTCAGTACTTATTTCCGAATTATAACTTTGATATCAATGTTTCGTGACACAGTGTCAGGTGATTGCAACAATACTTCACAATGACGTGATTGTAAGAACTGTTGTTACCAGACATAAATATTAACATTTCAAAGACATACTTCTTGTCACTATAATAAGTGAAAACATACTAATAAAATTATACTTGTTTATTCACTATATTGATTAAGTATAAAATTTTTTTCTTTACTGAATTAGCATCATTAATTTATTCCTGGATTATTTTGTCTCATGCTATACTTTACAAAATATATAATTAATTTCTTTAATATGTATATGTATATATATATTTCTGCGGAAGAAACATATTCAATAGAGAAACCGTTTTTGACCTCTGCTTTCTATGTACCTACAAGAAAACTGTAGACAGATCGTGGTCTTTTAGAAAGGAAAAGATTAAGGTTATCTTTACTGTCTTTACTACCGTAATAAATGATATTACAGTTTATCTATACGTTTTAAACACATCGATGATAGCCATACCAGCAATATTTCGTGACGGAGATATAAATGCGTCAATACTTTTGAAAAGATAAAAATTGCTAACGTCCATTACAGTATGATGTAGTAGCACGTGTTAAGTTTCTGGTACCGGTTTAAGTCTGTTCCCTTTGACAAATTATCGTTTAAACGGCGAAGTTGTTTTCTGTCTCGTAAAACAGGAAAATACTTCTCAAGTTTCGATGAGCTTACATGTTGCCGCATCATGCCAGCTTGCAAAAAAGCACGTCAACCTAGTCACGATGGTTCGCGAAATAAACTTCACCTGTTTCCTTCGGGTTTTACTGCTCTTCAGACTTTACCATCGTGTTGTGGCAAAGAAACCGTTGACACGAGAGATTAATATCATTTCATTTTGTCAAAACGGTTCGAATAATTTTATACCCATTCACGATACGGCTTCGGTGGCTCTTTAAATACGCGTACGGACAGCAACGCCATCAATTTGTTCCATAAAACGTGTATGTTAATTATCTTATTAATGGTTTTGTTAATTGAAATGGGTAATGTACGCAATAAAGTGTTGTAAAGTTTGTTTGTAATCAAGTACAAAGGCTCGTGGTCAATGGATGTTGATATTTCCATTCCGCTATCTCACTGCGATGATAATTAATTGCTCACGGCTGTACGATTGATCAAAATGCAAAAATAGAATAATTTTCCGCTTAATTTCATAATGTACATACTGATAAAGGAACGCGGTCGTGATCAGTCGTCTGTATAATTCTTTTGCTAACTTTAGCAAAGGCTTCCATTTTAATTTCGTCAAAATATTTTACTTTCGGAATCATGTTTCGATAATTTTATTCAGGTTACGTCTCTCAAGTATTCAGATGGGCTAAATAATAATTTCACACTCAACAATTTTTTAATTTTTAAAATTTGAAACTTGCAACCTTTCAGATTTTCAAGTTTTTAAATCTCAAAGTTTAAACTTATTTATCAAGTTTATGAAGAAAGCAGTTAAGTTGCAACCTATGATTCTACGTTTATTAATTTCATGACAAATACTACATGATAAGGGAAAAAAAGATTTGACTATGAACTACAAGATTAAGGTTGAAGTCATCTTCCACAACTTTCAGCTGCAGATTTTTACCAACCAAGAAAAGTAGAACACTAATTTTGAAACTTTCTGCACATCTATCAAATCAGCAGAAAAAGATTCAGGGTTTATCGAACAATTGAGCAGGTGTTCAATCACAGTACTTGCAAGGTGCTTGCGTGTTCGAGGATTCACGGTTACATTGTAAGGCACGTAAGCGAAAAGGAGCATCGTTTCCACGTTGAAGTAACGAGAGTCGCGAGGAAAGTCTCGGGATCATTTCGCGGATATACGACTTTCGCAACACCCTGGCGAATACAGCGAGAGACGAGCAGAAGCCCGGGCTAGTTGGGCAAAGTTTCACGACTTAAGCTCTCTGTGCTTCGTCTTTCTTCTCGTTGGTGGAACACGGCGTATCCAAGGAAATCATTAGCCAGGTATCACAAAGTTATCACAAGACAATGAAGAGCAGATCGGGTAACTTGGCGAACGGCGCAAAATCGAACTCGACTACCGCTTCTGCCGGTGCAGATAAAGTTACCCTCTTAACCTACGCTTCCTTATATTTCCTCCTTTTCTTCCAACTTCTTCCGCCCCTTCCTACCTTTTCCCATTCGATTTTTTCTACCTCGAAACGTAAGTCCTTCTTTACTTTTTTCATGCTGGTACTATTACTGCTTTCTATTTCCTTCGGTATTCTCGTCCGAACGAACAAGGGGATACGTGTTTCAAAGAGAATCTTACTCCCTCGACTGATTCTGACAGAATGTGCTGAGATCTGATATTTTTTCTCTTCTTCTTCTTCTTCTTCTTCGATGGAGACTTTTTCTTTTCGATAAAGGGGGAGAGAGGGGAATTGTATATTACGGGAAAATGAAAAGTTCAAACGAGTGGATTCGAAGAGACGAACCTCGTGCTGAGTCTTGATGGACAAAACTTTCGGACAACTTTAGATTGCCAACGATCTTTTGTCGAATGGAACAATTTTTCACGAAGATCAAGCGATGCGAAATACATAGGGGAAAGCGGGTAATGACTCTCATTTAGGCAATGATCATATATTCTACAGTTATTCTCAAACTTAAACAGTTTATTATCTGAATAACAAAATAAGCACTTCAGAACAAGAATTGTCAATTAAACGATCAATTCGAGTTTAGTAAAATTTTGTACAACTCATGTGAAACACATATTTACACATTCAACAGATATGTTATTTGAGACAGTTTTTATTGACTGTAGCAGAAAAATTCAAAACAAATTTAGTATCGATGAAATACTTTATCAAGTTATATTTGATATTGTTACACATGAAGCCACTGTATCGATAAAATTTATAAAAAGTCAGTCATGTTTTCCTTCCGAATTGCAAACCGATCTTAAATACATAGCTACACACTAGCAGCAGTTTATACACATTACTATCGTATTTCATTCACGTGCATCTGAATTAATTCCCCGCAATTTGGTTGCGCGATCCAGAATCAAATTACTTTCCCGTGGATGGCCAGGTTTCCGTTACAACAGCAAAATTTACCGTAGTAATAAGGGACAGCCGAAAAGTGTATACCGCGAGCGTCGGATCTGGCTGTGAAACCTTTCCAGATTTACATAAGGGCCTCATTTGCATGAACTTATTAAATTTTTGGCACGAGTAGTAAAACATCGTAGGTAGATACGAGCAGAACTACCGGCAGGTGGGCTTAATGCGTTTTAATACAGGCTCCTTTTTTTACGAGCGAACTTGCAAGCAGCAAAAAGCGTAAAATTCCTCGCGTCTGTTATACTCCGGCCTTAAATTTGCGTAATGACAACTTCCTCCTGCCATCTCTTTCGCTCCGTTTCTTTTCTTCTTTTAACCTGCTCACCAATTTCCCTTCGTTTTCCAACTTTTCGACAGTGCACAACCCCGTTTATGCGAATACATTTCGGTGGAATATAGACTTCGTTAGGGAACTAAGATCTGGGGGAATATACATTTTGGAATTTTTAATTTTTAAATTGAAGAAAGTTTTGAATTTTTAAGTCCACTATCTGGAGTTCTCTAATTTTTAAATTTGTGAGATTTGAAGTTTCGGAATTTCTAAATTTTCAAATACACACGTTCTGAAATTTCTAAATTGTTGAAGTTGGGAAATACTGAAGATAGTTTGGTAATTTTTAAATTTCCAAATTTCCAAATAAATTCTGAGAGTTCGCTAATATAAAAATTTACTATAAGAAAAAAGTTTTCGTTAAACCTTACATTACCAACCGAAACGACTATTAAGGTCTCCCTCCATTATACCGCCATTTTGTCCTACCCGTGCCGTATCTACATATGTACATCAATATCATTCGTCACGCTTCAAGATATCCGGTTTAAGTGCGCATCCACAATGAATCCAACGCAATTCCGATTCGCCACAGTTTTCCTCCAACCTCATGCAAATGCTCGTTCTTTAAACGAGGTGGCAGAAAAGCAGCGCATCAAGGATCGACTCTTCTTTGTGCGGCAACGGGCTTCTCGCCTCTGTAAGAACAATAAAATCGAGAGCCGCTGGTTTCGTGGCGCGAATTTAAAAGGGTAAATTGAACGTTGCTTAAGCGACATTTGCATGAAAGAAGGGGATGTCTTCGTTGACGAACTGCTCTGCGATGAAAATTACTTTTGCTTTCAACGTTGCCTGGGAGACGATCGATTTCTTCGATCGT